CTCTGCTAACCATGTTTCTTTTTGTCACAATATCTGTGCACAAGTTGAACCATCATCACTACTACAAAAAACACTTACTACGACAGCATCCAACGTCGGTTTTTATGAAGACCGACGTTGTACAAGACGCGGTGACAAACCTGTAATTAAGAAATAATATTTAACGTCGGTTATAACAAAACCGACGTAGTAATGGACAAATAATGTCGGTTAGATAACATACGACGTTAAATGTTTAAATTTAACGTCGGTTATGTATAACCGACGTTGAAATCCCAAAATCAACGTCGGTTCCATGATTTACCCGACGTCGAAAGCATTAACCACGTCGGATTTTTTAATAACCGACGTCGAATGTCCTAACATACCTAGCCTCCAGAGCGCGCAGTTGTTCTTCTGCTTCTTCTTCGTGCTCTGGTCTCAATTCCTCTGCTTCTTCTTCGTCATCTGCTACCTCAGTCCTCAATGCCGTGCGCTGCTACCTCAGTTCTCTCCTTCTTCGTCGTTCGTTGTTTGACGTGGTAACGTCATCTGCTACCTCAGCCTCTTCTGGTTTTACACAAGTTTTTTTAATAGATTCTAATCATGTGTATATAGAGAAACCACTGGCAGCTATTAGTTATTTGTCTAAAGCAAAATCTTGTGTGTTGGTTCTGCTCATTGGGATGGAAACCTGACATGGAGCTAAAAAATATTGTAAACGAGTAAGTATTTCTTATATTATGTCTAAACATCTTGATTATTCTATTTCTAACCCCCTTCTTTTCAATATATAGTGCTCTAAAGGTTTGTAGTACATTAGGTGGAAAACACACAAGTAAAAGCACAACTCCAAATTGGAATTTTATCAAAGTAAGTAGCCTTTATATATATTATACTATCTATTAATTTATGTTCAAATTTAATAGTTATTTTTAACATATTTAGTCATTTTTAGTGTAACAAACAAAATGGAGGATACGAGTGCGGCTACTATGTAATGTATTGGATGTGGCTCATCATTTTTTGTAGCATTCAGGATAGTTGGAATGAGGTAAGTTGAAATTTGCTATTATATTCAATTCCTTTATTTTTATTGCTTAGGGTTTACCATTCTATTATTGTGAACTTCTTACGGGCATTTAAAGATATAGAACCTTTGCCTATGGATACTATAGACATGGTTAGAAACAAATGGGCGAGAAAAGTTTGTACAAGTAGTTAGGAATAGGATTGATTGATAATTTTTTGTGTATTTTGTACATAATTTGGCTGATTTTGACATATATATCTATCATTTTATATATTAGTGATTAGCTGAAATAAATATACCTGTCCGGATCGAGATTATAGCGAGTCGTGTACTCGTTGGTGGCACAAAAACAGACCAACATTTAAAAAAAAAAAAGGGATATTCTACGTCGGTTATTGCATTAACCGACGTTGTAACGTCGGTCGCTTGAGCGATACAGAACCCAAGAGTCCCCTTTGTTTGAAGGCTTCGTCGCTCAAGCGAGTACACCGGTCGCTTGAGCGAGAAAGGACCCGAGGGTCACCTTTGTTTGAAGGCTTAGTCGCTATATATAACTTTCAACGTCGGTTAGTTCAATAACCGACGTAGAATTTACTAATTTCTACGACGGACATTTGGTTAACCGACGTAGATATATATCACTTTCAACGTCGGGTATTCTGAACCGACGTAGAATCCTTTGACATTCAACGATGCCTGAATCAACAACATCATTGGAACCGACGTTGAATGCCTTCCACACCCGACGTTGAATGATCTGTAGTAGTGCATCCTTTAAAGAGGTTAGCAAGTTTGAGTATTGGCAATAAGCCATGAGTTTTGTACTAGATGCTCTTGATAGAAACCAAACTTGGATGTTGGTCAATCTCCCTAGGATAAAGGGACTTTGTAAAAACATCAACAACTTGATCGGCAGAAGACACATGAAGGAGTTTGATGAGACCATCTTGAAGCTTTTGTCTAGTAACATGACAGTCTATGTTTGGTTCTTTCATGATAGGTTGGATTCTTGGCAGTGTGGATAGCAGAACTGTTGTCACAGTAGACTGAGTAGGGAGTGGAGCAAGGTATATGTAGATCATTGAAAAGGTAGTGCATCCATTGGAATTCACAGGTTAGAGAAGCTAAAGCCTTATATTCAGCTTCAGAGAAGGATTTAGAAACAGTGATTTGTTTCTTTGATTTCCAAGAAAATATCCAAGGAAAACACAGACACCAGAGATAGATCTCCTATTGGTAGAACAAGTAGTCGAATAAGAGTCGGAGTAACCATGCACTCTAAAAGAATTATCAGTAGCATATAATAATCCAGATCCACGACCATTCTTTAAGTATCTAATAACTCTCATGGCTTGTTGCATATGAAGTTTTAACACTGGTGTATCCAAGCAAAACAAAACATGTATAATATTCATGTTCACCTTGAGGGAGGGTGATAGAAGATAACCGATCTCTTTTTCCGTTAGTTTCAGTTTTTATTTTATCTTTCTTTCTTTTGTATATATGTACATAGTTTCCGCAACATCTATCGTACTATTATTTTCTTCGCTGATAAATAATAATGAAAGTTTTCCTTTCTAGCATTCTGTCAAATACTGTTAATTTCTGAAAAGGAAAAGTAAGACCTATTGAAAATATGATTCTCAATAAATTTCAGTCTGTAATAAAAGGTTCTACTCCTATCCTTTGTTGAAAAAAAAAAAAACAGTCAATGGTCTTTACTAAAAAGCCTCGTTGAAATTGTAATGCATTCTCACAATGTGGTGGTAGAATTGTGTTGACTTTCTGAATTAGCTTTTAGATGTGTTTTTTGTTAATTAACTACAGGGAATGCTGATAAGAAGAGGAACCGTTTAAGTTAAGCATTGATATCGTATAATATTATCCATTTATTGCAATATGATAAAAGTATGGTTTTATGAAAGAATAACAACATCATATCTATAAAAGAGATTTTTTTTAAATATTGATTTTATTTAAGAGGTTGGAAATTTTTAATTTTTATCAAAATAAGTTAAATAATGTGAAATGAGGTGAGTTCTCACTATTTTAGTTGAGTTAAAAAATAAAAAAACGTGCTTGGTAATATGAGTTCCAAATAATTTATATTGAATTTGTATTACTTAGTACATGTTTATTTTTCCTTTGAAAAACATCATTTTTTAATTTTTTTAATTTATTTATTTATTACATAATAATAATAATAATATTAAAAAGGTAAAAATGAAAAAAAATTTAATACTAACAGAACAAATATTAATAATAATATTACCAAAATAAAAAACAAAATGCAAAAATAGCATAAAAATAGGAAAAAATATTAATAATAATATTAATATGAAAAATAAAAAGCAGAAAATAAAATTAAAACTAACAAAATAAATATTAATAATAACAATATTAACAAAATAATATTTAAAATAGCAAAAAGATAGGAAAAATATTAATAGTAATAATAGAAATAATAATATGAATAATAATAATATTATTATTATTATATTAATAATAATAAGATAAATAATATATTTTAAAAAAATCCTATTTTTCCAAAAAAAAAAAACATAAAACTCTAACACGAATTTAATATAAATTATTTGAAACCTGTACTAATAATAATCACATTTTATTTTTAAATTACACAATTAAAATTGTGCTACATATTATTATTTTATATTTTCAAGTATAATCTTAGTGTAAGAGTTCATCTCATCTCACATGATGAGTAAAATTACAAATTTTCAATCATAGGTAAAATTAACATTTTTTTTATCTTGTTCAGAAAAAAGCCTATAAAAGATGCCTCTTGGAACAGACTCCACATTCAAGCAGCCTATCTAAGTGCAAAATTAGAGAACCTAAGGCGTAATAATGTTGTAATCAGTTTTTTTTTTCTGATGTTTCTGTTTCTATTTTTAACCAACAAATAGTTGCAGTATTCGTATAACAAACTGGTCCAGGAGCATCCCATCCGAACTTTCCTTTTTTCTAATTATTTAATTCATCAGTCATTCAATTCTACGCAACCACCTTTTTTTTTATGAAATTCTTATCACAAGTTTCATACTGTATAATAATTTTCTAAATAGTGTGTTAAAGTACGAATTTGTTAAAAAATGTATCACTTTAGCAATCTTTTATACATATATATATATATATATATATATATATATATATATATATATATATATATATATATATATGATGACGAATGGTGGTGCGGGCGCAGAAGAATTTAATTGTAGCCTACAAGATGCTGTATATTAAATTTAGGCCAAGACTTACAAGAAAAGAAGGGTACATTATATATATGATTTTTTGAGTAATCCATTTAATTTGTTTATATGCGATGCAACGTCATAATCCAAAGACCGTAGACTATGTCAGCCGGTTGAAGACTCCACTTAATTGAAGATAATTTAATTTTGATTTCTTATAATTTTTAAACGTGAAGACATTGATTGGTTCCACGAGGATTACGTCTTATGTGGGATGAACGACTTTATCTAATTCCAATGCTTCCTCTCATCTTCATTCATCTAACAGCAACAAACACAACTTAGTTTCATAGGAAACCCCGTCAACCTCGGACATTTATAGCTAAAATCCTTTTATGTAATTTTTTTCTTGCGATTTTCCCGTGTTATTCTTCTCACTATCTAATAATAGAACCCACCTAATTGCACACCTATCTAGGATCAAACATTCACCTATGATATTTTCTAATCCTCTGACTTTGTTTCATGCACTAAATTCATTTTGGAATTTGGAACAACTTCACTGCCAAGTTCCTGTGATTGTGATCATGATTGTAAATATGAATACCCGTTTCTTTTTTATTTTTTTCTCGACTTGTATGTGATTGTAATCATGTTGTTGGAAAAATTACTTTCTTCTGCAAAACATTACAATGAATGCGTGCTTACTATTGCTTTGATCTGTTCTAAATATGTTGGTTGTTTTTAAAAGGGATAGTCTGTGATCAATAAATATGCAAGGGAAGATGCAACAACAGCATTACGTGGAGGAATATGATAGGAAGATGAGGAAAATGGAGGAGCAAATGAGAAGAGTCGAGCAAGAGAGAGGTCAAGCCTTTAAAGAGCTAAGACAAATGAAAAGGGCTGCTGAGGAGACCAATGTCATGATTGATGAAAAATTAGCCAACAAAAGATCATATTCAGAGCCACGTCTATTAGAAAACCAAATGGATGTTAAAGAATCATCAAACAACCATATGTCAGAGAAAGATGTCTTGTTAGACAACATGAGGAACGAGATGAATAGTCTCAGATCATCTGAGGATAATGCAATGATCTTATTGTCTGAATATAAAAGGAAAATTCAAGAGTTGGAGACGGAACTAGATAAAAGAAAAGAATCAGAAGCAAATTTGTTTGACACATTGGTAATGCAAACAAAACAGCTAGAGCAGAACAAGATCCTGCTTGAAGAGTCAAAGCTTGAGATAGCTTCTCTTGAAGAAAAAGTAATGACAGTTCAACTAAGTGCCAGTCAGATGGTGAAAACTCCTGGTAATGATTTGTGATAAAATAATTGTACAGTAAATTTTATAAGATCTTCTCAACGTGATTCTTCGATAAAAAAAAACTTGACATTTTTTGTTAAGTTCAAAGATAAAATCTAAATGTTATTGTAAGATTAGCATCAAAAGTATTCAAGGAATTTCATCTTCCTTTTTTTAAAATATTTTTATGATTCTACTTTTAGTCTTGAAAAACAATTTCTGTTATTGATTTTGTTGATGACTTTGAATTTTTGTTTTTTTAGTCACTGAGGATTACTTTTCACCAAAAGAAAGTGATGAAGGTATGGAAATTGAAACTGAGCTAGAAAAAGAGATGCTCAGTGATGAGAGACTTTCTGAGAAGGTCAAAAACATGTTTGAAGAACTAATTACACTTAGAATGGAATTGAAGTCGGCAATGGAAGCAGAAGAGAACAGCAAGAAGGCTATGGATGATTTGGCCTTTGCATTAAAAGAAGTGGCAACAGAAGCTAACCAGGTGAAGGCAAAACTAATCTTAAGCCAAGTGGAACTAGAGCACACAAAAGAGGACGCTGAGCGTTGGAGAACAATGTTAAGAACCACAGAAGAGAAGTATAAAGAGATTCTTGAAGCAACGAAGAAAGAAGCAGATAGGAACAAAAACACAGTTGACAGGTTAAGATCAGAAGCTGAAGAGTCCCTTTTAGCATGGAATGAGAAAGAAACTGAGCTAGTAAATTGCATTAGAAGAGCCGAAGAGGAAAGACTAATTGCAAAACAAGAAAGCATCAGTGCCCTCCAGGCTCTCAAAGAGGCAGAGAATAAAGTAAGAACTTCAAAGGAAGAAAATCAAAAGTTACGTGATATTCTTAAACAAGCCTTGAATGAAGCCAATGTTGCAAAAGAAGCTGCTGAAATTGCAAAGGCTGAAAATTCTAGACTACAAGATAGTATTAACCTACTTGTCCACGAAAATGAGATGTTGAAGATCCATGAAGTCGCGTCGTTTGAGAATATTAAAGAGTTGAAGCGCATGCTTTCAGAATCTTCAGTAAAGGAGTTTAAAAATGAGGACATAGAGAAGCCACCTACAAAAGAAAGTGGGAAGGAGGATAATAATAACAAAGAGCCAATAAGAAGAAGGGGACATAACAATTACTCAATGGATCATAGAGAGCATAAAGAACCTAAGAGTTTGAATAAAACTTTCAGTCTTAATCTGAAGGAGATGATAACACCAAACAGCCATAAACAACAACACAACAAAGTGGGAAACGAAGAAGTCACTAAGGACATTGATGATGACACATTAAGAGGTTCAATATTTGATGAAGTGGATTCATCAGACTCAGAATCACGTCAAGACATGGATATACCTGATGATTTTGACCATCTTGATGAATCTCATTTTGATGACCCAGAGGGTGACAGAAACTCGAGGAAACGAAGAGCTTTGCTAAGAAGATTTGGTGATCTTATACGGAGAAGAGGTTATCGAAAGGAACCATCTAACGAGGAACATTTACAAACGTGATAATTTATTCGGTTTAGATGTTTTTTTATAGTTTACATGCTTTCAGACTAAGTTTTTATTTCTTCTTGTTGTATAATGAATGATACGTGATTTATATTTTGACATAGAGATTTATGTAAAATGTGATTCAAACATGATAATGTTTAAACACTAGAATATCTAAAGAGAATTGAATATCAATATGTATGCTTCATCTTATTAACTTATGCTGCAATAATCCTTTCAAAAATAAATTATTACTAAAATTACTCAATGTTAGATCATTAAAAATAATAATGAATAGTCATATTATATAATCTTTGATTTTTTTCATTCGTTTTTTAAAGAGGACGGGTATGGGGAAAAGATGAAAAAGCCATAAGAGTTTATTTAGTTACATCATGGCTAATTTATATATCTGCACCTGAAGACATATTTCTTCATTTTCTCTGCACTTTACCAGTTAATGAAACAATTCAATATAGGGACCACTTTTATTTTATTTCATCTTATTTTTTAAGTAGGACTACTGTTGTTTCTCTCTCAAAATATTGTTTTATACTTCAGGTTTATGATGAATTATATTAATTATTGAAACTTAGAAGGGTAATCTTTCAATAAGGTTTTAAATTTTAATAGTATCAATTTTACTAACCATAATTGCCGAAGATTTTAAAATTATGGACGGTATTCGATAATTGTTGAAGCGAGAGATTTAAAAGAATTTTTAGTTGTTTCCGTTGGAATCTATTATCTTTTCCAATTTTTGTCTCCGTCGGGTGTGGTTTTTGAAATTTTTTTATATATAATATAATTGATATATAAAATTCCATCATCAATTAATTACATTTTTCTTAAGTAAAATTGAACAAAATTATTATACATAATAATATAAAATTGATAAGAACTAACAACCAACTTTTTTATTTTTTTCTTTTGAATATATATATACTAACTAAAAATGATTTAACATAATGATTTAAATGTTAAAGATAAATTTTATATATATATATATATATATATATATATATATTCTTATTTATCTTTGTATATAGTTTAGTCATGTTTTATATAAAGAACTCTTGTTTCAAATAAATGTAAAATTAAATTAAAAAAATAAATGCATATTTTCATTCGGTAGTAATAGAGGTTAAGGTAGAAAATTGTGTTGAGAGAATATTATTATTATAAAAATAAACAGGACCATTTTAATTAAAATATTTTGAGTCACTCTATAGGTTATAGTTGTTTGTTTTCCTAATGTTTAATCCTTTATAGTATTATCTTCAAACATGGTGATGTTTACACCTTGATTAGACATTAAATATTAGATATGTATTCATTAATCACGTTGAAACTTTCATCATTGACCAAGTTTAGAAAGGACATAGAATAAAATATACCATGGGAAAAACAGACCGAATTTCTTATAAACCTTCTGTGAGATTTCTTAACAATTAGGGTTTTATATTTTAACTTTAATGACAATTTAGATATATCAGTTGGACACAGACCTGGTTTTTGAACTTTCTGCGGCCCACGCCCATATTTTGGAGGAAAATATCTTATCCAGTACAGCATGTGATTCGCATGTTCTTTATGGTTTCTAGCTAAACCATGAAGAAAGAAGTTGCAAACGTGGCCAGCAGGTGTACCGTCTTTCCATACACCGCCACCACATAGAATCTCTGCTCGACACGTTTGCGCCTTCGTTAAGCTCAGGAATTTATATATATATTTGAACACGAGCAACAACCCAGAATAAATAGGATCGTGTTTTGGTGCCTCCACTCTGTTCCTTATATAATCTTGTGATACTTGCAACACGTGATAGCACTTCACTCTTTCATTTTGGAGTTCATTGTTTAGACAATGACGTCGTCGGTGGTCGAAGGTGGACGCGACGAGGGCAAACGCGAGCCCTCCGATTTGATTATCGAAAGCATGAATCTGACGCCTGCAAACCTTTCCCTCCCCACTGAAACATTCTTGAGAGCAGCAATTTCCCTCAAGGAAAAGTTTTTTTTTTTGTTCTTTTTCTCTTCGCTACGATCTAGAATTTGTTAGCACTGAATGTGAACCTTAAAAGAAGTGAAATTATGGGTACGGACAGGTTGTAGAGGAAACTTGGAACCGGAGAGACCAGGTGGTTGATCCCACGGTGTACGCTGGACTGTTGGGCACTGCCTTCACTTGTTTGCGGTCGTACCAGGTTACCGGTTGCCGGAACGACTTGCAGTTATGCAGAGATATCATTGACACGTGTGTCACCGCTGCACGTGCCTCCCTCAGGTATCTTCAGTACGTTTTAAAAATGGTAAATATTTATCTTAAGTTATGCCGGGCTTCTTTTATAAAAAATACATAGTTTTCCTTAATTTTTTTATTTTCATTAAATAGTACCTTAAAATGGTTATATTTTATGACATTAAATATCCTTTCATTGGAAAAACTGATTCATGACTAACGATTGTACCTCCATTATTTTTTTTAATACTACCTTAATTAAAAATTTATTGAAAAATGATTTTAATGGGTCCCAATACTCTTTTCATTTTTTGAAATAAGACTCACAGAATTTAATAATAAAAGCATCAGCATTCCCCTTGTTCATTTTCAAAGATATTTCCAACAAATTAAGCATTATATGCTTTTGGGAAATAATGGTTATGGCACGTTACTTAAAACATAATAAGAAATATTGGTTGTGCCATTAAGATTTTAGAATTAGAATACAAGTTAGTAAGATTAACCGTAGTTAAATAACAAACTTTGTTCATACAAACCGTTAGATAATGATAATAGTTATAGAAAAAATAAAAAAGTTGTCAAATTATATTTTCCTCCTTGTTTTCGTTTGATATTATAAGGATGCGAAGTGTGGCGTTAGTTTCAGGCAATTTCGAGAGATTCGTATTTTGTTATGGTGATTCGATGAACATATGAGAATATGTGTGACCAGAGATGCCAACACCCATTCCACTATTAATTAAAAATTTCAAAATTACAAAAGAGTCATGAAATAAAATATATTTTTTTAATAATTTATTCTTTTTAAAAAGTGGGCTGCTAGTATTTCTTTTTGTTTGATAAGTCTCGTATAATATTTGTATAAATTAATTCTTGCTTAGTGATATTTGAATGAATTTCAATACACAAGTACAAAAAACATACCCTAAGTAAGCATTTGAATTGGAATCTGGAAACTCCTCAGCACTCAGTATATGTTTGAACACTTATAAGTTTTATTCTAACCAATAAGATCAACTATTGTTGGGAACTTGAGCTGTAGTGTCATAATTTTTGGTTCATAGCTTTCCTTTGTTCAACTCAGTCATAAAATTTTCTTCTTAAAAATAAGAACATATCAACTAACCTTTTCCAAGGTTCATGGTAACAGAAATGGATCTTGTCATTGTTGACATTTTGTTTAATTGTCTCTTGTTTTGGTGTACTCTTCTAACATAAGAGGTAATACTTGTATGTTACAGACACGTGACCTTTTTATGCGGTAGTGGAGGCGTTTATGCGCTTGGTGCCGTGGTTGCCAATTACATGGGGGACCTAAGAAAACGTGACTTGTTTCTGGCTCTGTTCATCGAGGTAAAATCATGAAATGAAAATGCACGGAATTCATTTATGCCTACATTATTTTTGTCTCTGTTATTCAACGGACCATGTTGCCACACTTCATGAAGTGATTTGTGGTTCATATTTGTTTACTTATAGAAGTTTCCATCGAAAAGAAGCTCTTTCATATTTGTTGGAATCTTTCGACCTGACAAATATAAGTTGAAGAAGGGCCTACCTTAAGATTTTTTTCAAGCCTGGTTTTCATCTACACAACTTTTTCAAACTTAGTTTTCATCAATACTTCAGCCGGATAACTACAGTTATTATATTTTAAACAAAATTTCAAATTAAATAATGTTTTCACTCTGTAATTAACATTAATTTTACTCTTCTTAATTCTACCAAGCACATGCAAATGCAAAGGAGTAGACAGGGTAAAGATTGTAATCATTGTGGTGAAGGTAGTAATGTTAGGAAGAATAGGAATAAAAAATAATATATTTATTATAATCTGAATTCTACCAAGCACAACCACATGCAAAGGAGTAATGTCAAGAAGAATAATTACCACAGGCATAGAAGAAATAAAAAATAATATATTCATTATAATCTTAATTCTACCTAGCACATGCAAAGGAGTCGTAAGCTTATCATTGTACTAAAGATAGTAACCGCAGGGCATAGAGGGGATAAAAAATATATTTATTATAATTGGAGATAATATTGAACTATTGAGGGGATACAAAATATATTTATTATAATTGGAGATACTATTGAACTATTGATTTACATAGTTGGTTACTTCCAACTAGGTTTATTGTAATAAGTGATCTAATACCTCTACAGGATAGATTTTTTTCAGTTTGGTTTATTGTAATCAGTGATATAATTGGAGTACAGGATAGATAGATTTCTACATGATAGATCTCTTCAACTAAAGAGGAGAAGGGCAACATGTGATTGATTGAGTTCGGTAGTTTCTCAATTTGATTGATTGATTGAATTCGATAATTTCTCATATTAAATTATTGAGTTCAGTATTTAATAATTTGAGTTCACTATTAAATTAGTAGTTCCTTTGAGTTTAGTAGTTCCTCCTATTAAATTATTGAATTCACTATTAATATTGAGTTTTAGTAGTTCCTCATTTAGTAGTTCCTAGTTCCTCATATTATAGATTTCTTCAATTCCTCATGAAGAAATTCAATTCCTCATATTATAGATTTCTTCAACTCAATATGAGAAAACAAGTGACTGAGTTTAGTAGTTTCTCATATTAAATTAAATAATTTGAGTTTAGTATTAAATTATTGAGTTTAATAATTCTTTGAGATGAGTAGTTCCTCATATTAAATTAAATAATTTGACTTTAGTATTAAATTATTAAGTTTAATTTTGACTTCAGTATTAAATTATTAAGTTTAATCATTCCTCAGTATTAAATTATT